CCCCCCCGCGGGCTCCCGTCCGCCGCTGGGCTGCGACCCCTTCGGGCAGCCTCCTGCCTTAGAACCGCACTTACCGGGGGGCGGGGCCGCCGCCCTGGAGCTGTGTCCAGGAGCTACCGCGCTGCGCAGAGTAGCGACCCAGACCGGCCCTCGGCGCCTTTTGGTCACTGCCCCGCTGCTCCCTTCACGCCTGCGTTTCCTCCAGTCTTCAGGAGCCAGCTTCCCAGGGAGAACGACACCTATTCCTATGACCCGCCGCCTGACGCGCCCCCTCCCGAAGGGCAGACCCGCGTGAGCCTGCAGCTTCAGTGTGGAGCTCATCTGTGTAGAGCGAAGGTTTGTTCTAAATGCCACAGGGCCCACTACTGTAGTAAAGAGCATCAGACTGTAGATTGGAAATCGGGACACAAACTTTCTTGTGCGCAGTCAGGTGAGTTAAGTGGAATGAGAACTTAAAATGTAGTGCGGTATGGAACAAATGCATGGTGTAATTCCAAAAAGATTTACTTACATTGTCTCTTCCCCCCTCCCCCCCGCTAGATTAAACTAATATTGTTCTTGTTTCCTTTTGCTAAAGACAAGTTAAGTTCAGAGGAGAAATAATAATAATAACCAGTATTTCCTACTACATTGATTAGAAGATCATGTCCACATCTTTATTGTGTCATAAATCTCTGTAAGCAATTGGGAAAAATCAAAAACTCTATTGTTTTAGTATAAAGAGAATACACAGACAAACGTAAATATATAGTAGTATAAGATAATACAATGCTGCTGCTAGTTTTTTTTTTTATCCTTCTATATTTTTAAAGAGACTTTCTTAAAATGTAGTGCGGGATCGAATAAAAGTATGGTGCAAATCAAACGAGTTACTTAAATTCTTTAAATTATTATTATGTTTGATTCTATTTATACACAGTCAATGATTATGAATTGTCCATTGCGTCAACATGATTCTTGTTAAAACATGAGAAGTTCTTTCTGCAGTCCAAAATCGTAATGCATTAACCACGTGGGAAGAAATTGTTAATGTAAGAAGGCGAATTATTAGGTGACCTTAGGTAAATTGGTAAGGGCCTAAGTGTATTTAATGGATCATATCTATACTTACATATCACATAGTACAGGTTGAACCTCTCTAGTCCGACACCCTTGGGAATTAGCTGGTGCCAAACCAAAGAATTTGCCAAACCACTGGAGGTCAGTACTGTCTAGCAGCATTACCAACGTTTCCCCTGCTTACTAGGCTCTTAAAAGACATTTAAGGATAAATTAGAGCTAAGTAACAGCATTGAACACTAAGAGCCAGAACTGTTGGCTGTAAACACGTTTTATGGTATCGTGAGAAACTTGGCCATACCGATGATAAGTGGATATCCTGCGGGCTACAGATGTTGCTGGACTAAAGAGGTTTGTACAGTTGTACATTTGTGAGTCCATTTGTTTAATAACTTTTCCTAACGATAAGAACTAGGACCATCAAATTTGGTATGCAGCTTCTTATAATTTACAGTAAGGTAAGGGGTTGGTTGTGCCAAGGAAATGGGATCTGCCTGGAATGAAATTGCATCTTATAAAACCATATAGAAAAGAGAATCACCAGGCAGGTGAAATGGCTGTCTGGGGACACTCCTCTCACACCTCCCTCCCCCACCTGCCCCAGCCCAGAGCCTCCCACCCCCGAGGTGCTCTTTTAGGGAGGGTGGGTGCTGCTGAAACCTCCCTCCCCCATTCATAGGGAGACATTGCTAGCTGTTCCCCTACCTCAGGGAGTGAGGGCAAAGTGCACAATTTGCTGCATTCCTCACTCTGGCTGGGAAGCACAGATGATCCTGGACCTGCTCCTGCTGAGGGGGACACACCCCTCCCCCAGCTGTGCTTACTGGAGCTGCAGTGGCCTTGGGCACTTTTCATCTGGCCCCAAGCTGTTGCAGTGTGAGAGGGTGGAGGTAGTCCCCTTTTCCCAGGGCAGCCTGCATACTGACCCCCTCACCACAGCCCCACTCCAGAACAGTGATTCAAATGAAGCATGTACATTTTCATTTTATTTTCCTTAAACCAAAAATTAAGTTTCTGAGCAAAGCAGAGTAAATCTTCTAGTATAGAATAAAGCACTGAAATTTAAAAAACAAACAGGAATGCTCTTGTGTGTTGCAGCTCAATTGGACGCTGTAATTCCAGATCACAAGTTCCTTTTTCCAGAGTATGAAATTGTAATAGAACCTGAGGAAATGGAAACTCCTGGTGATGGTCAAACAGATGAAGGTACACAAAAGGACTTGAAGGAATATGAAGCATTGGAGGAGGCTGCAGGCAGCACAAGTAAGAAATAAAATGGGTTTCCAAGAGAGTAACTGTCAGTTAATTACAGTTGACCACTGTGTGCCTGCCATTTATTGTGTATATATTTATTTAAATTACCATTTTCAAATTTTATTGAAAGAAAGCGAATGAGGTAACTAATGACTAGATTCATAATATTATGCCAGTATTATGGTTTCGTATGGGAATTTTCCTGAAGATTTAGTTTTTAGATTTACTTTTGGAGACAATATATAGTACCTGGCTTTTAAAATACGTAACCAGCTGTACCTAAAATCCAGCCTGTGCTAGAAGAAAGTTTAAACCTGGTGGTGGTTGTTTTTTATGGGTTTGCTAACTCAGACACTTGGGGGAATTTTGCACCACAGCACAATGCAGTGCTTGTGTAGAAATCCGTGTTCTGCACAGTTTCCTTTTCCCACCCCACAGAAATGGGCTGCAGAGTGCTGGCTGCTACTAATGGTTCTGGATCCGGCAGAGCCCAGCTTGCAAATAGAAGACACTATAGGGAGAGAGAAAGATAAAACTGGAGGGTTTTGAGCAGCTACAATTCCTCACATAGTCTGAAGGAAGGAGGTGGCATGCAGGAAACTCCATACAAGCTTGGGATCTAGCATCAGGCTGTTTCTCCCTCAGATCCTTAGGCTCTCAGAAGGTAGGAGGGTATATGTAGATGTTTGGGCTAGGAGGCATCACACAGCTAGGTGTTGGGATGCAGGGGCTGAGACAGAGAAACAGGAACTGTGTTGGCCTAGGAGTTTCTTTAACTTTCTAGGATCTAAGAGATGCAAGAGGTTGGGCTCTAGTGGAAGAGGTAGTACAAGTATCTTGGCTGGGGGACACCTGTTGCTCAGCTCAGGAAAGAGGGGAATAAAGAAACATGAAGTATGTTATTGTCGATGTTTCTTTAACTCTCTAGGGTGATTTTTTTTGTATTATTACATAGTTGCTGACAGGTGTTATGAAATAAATTGCTAATATAATTGAAACTGTGATTACATATTTATTTGTCAAAGTAACACTGCAGAATTTTAAGACATTTTCTATTGATGAGAATATCCTTTCTCTCTGAATTATAAACTGTAAATCCTTTACATGAGGGATGAATGAATCATTTAAACTATACCCCGTTAAATGAACTTGTATTCAGATCTAGCATGCTTTGAAGTTTGTGATGACACACAGTGCCATTTTTAAACTTGTAATTTTAAACTTTGTGGCTGGGGGTTACTAAAGCTACAGATAGGACAACCAAATTGAGCATGAATAAACGTTGTAGAAGAAAGAGATGCAAACACAAGTCTTTCTAATTGTTAAAGTTGTAAATTTGACACCTTCATGTGCATACCTCATTGGTCTTTAAAAGGGTTTAAAAAAAAAGAGCTAGACTCATGGCGGTTACGTCCATTAATGGCTATTAGCCAGGATAGGTAGGAATGGTATTCCTAGCCTCTGTTTCTCTGGAAGTGAGTGACAGGAGAGGTAATCCCCATGTCGGTAATCTGCAATAACTGGGAAAAATCTGTGGTTTTTTTTTTTTTTTTTTTTTTTTTTTTAGTGTCAGATTCAGAAAGTACATTTATTTTGTGTTCCATATTTCAGCCATGCACTTCTAAATTAATTCTGCCTGTCTTGCTTGCATACTTCTTATACTGAAATATACATTTAAAATAGTACACAACTAATGGGTCACAGAACTGAATCTGTTGGTCCTCCAAACAAGCAAATGCTTGTCTTTGATGTTGCGGTTTGTTTTCCTGAATATTGGATGCTTGAACTGAAATTCTAGAAGATGTTAGAGACAAATGTATTGTAAGCTTTAACTTGGCCATATTATGTTAACTCAGTGTTGTCTTTTTTTCCTTTAGGTGAAGGGTTTGAATCACTAGATGAGGAGGTATTGGAGGCAATGGCAAAACATGAGACTCAAGAGGACAAGATTTTCCAAAAATTTAAAAATCGAATAGCTGCAGAACCAGAACAGGTGAAAGGAAAAATATCTTTTAGAATACTAATCAACTAATGGGCAAAAGATGGGAGGGCTTGCTTTTGGTGGTGGTGGTGGGGGGGAAGTTATATTGCAACCTTGGCACTTACATAGCATCCTGATTGTGTTTCTGCAAATGGTGCCTCTTCAGCCCAAAAATCTGAAATAGCTGAGGACAAGGATGTAGAGAAGTTTCACAGATCATCCAGTCTGCATGCCCACAAACATAGAATAAAAGTTCCAGTTACAAGACAGCAAGATGCCAGTCTTTGCTGTAATTAGACCTGTGATAAACTAAGACCTTGGAAAAACCCAAGTCATTCAAGGCAAGCGGAAATTTAACAAGGGTGAGTGTGTTGAGTGGAGTTGAGCCACAGCGAAGGGGATCTGCTGCCCTTTTGTGGAAAAGGAGAAAGCATGCTGAATAGCATCATTTCTCTTTTGCCCCTTCCTCTATAGGACCATCACGTGTCTGCTGCTTCAGCTTATTTTTTTTCCTTTTAATCAGCATTCATGCTGCAAGGTGAAACTCTTATCACTCATTCAGAGACAGAAAAGTCTTGTGATTAAAACACAGTACTGTGAATGGAGAGACTTGGATTTTGTTCTCGTACCTGTTGCAGAGTCCCTTTGTTACCATGATTGAATCAGTCTCCTTACTCTACTCCCAACAGGAGTTTTGAGTCCAAAAGTATTTTAGGGCTTTGAGAGAATCTGTTATGGAAATGCAAAGTATTACTATTTATTGCTGGACTAATGCAAGATGGCTTAGGGAAATTGACGGGTTCCTCAAAGCAATATAAGTCTTTTTCCATTTTAATTGTGTATAGGTTTTCTTAAACTTATGTATCTAACAGATTTACTGGGGGAATAAAACCTTGGTCACTGTCCACTTCATAACTGTGATTGGTATTATTTATATAGCTGAAAAGACAGTCAGTACTTCTTTCTATCCAATTTCAGATTCTCAGATACTGTCGAGGAAGAGAAGGCCCCATATGGATCTCTGGTGAAAACATTCCCCAAATGAAAGAGATCCCACATTGTTCATGTGGTGCCCAAAGGATATTTGAATTCCAAGTATGTGAATTAGATTCAAGGATATGAGTTTTTGTGTATTATTAAAAATCTATTAAGTCTGAAATAGAAATATTAGCTTATGGCTAGAGTGAAGAGAGTTATATTTGAATTCACAGGATAATTGTGCTGCAGTGTAGAAGCCTTAGATACTAGTGTAACTCCTTTCTTATGGAGATGTTTATCATAAATAGTGCTTATCCTTCTATTTTGTTGGCTACAAAAACAGATTATACTTTTTCTATCCCATTGAGGGTCCTGTGAATGTCTTCTCAAGGTAGTGTCCAATTCTATGGAAAAGTGCTCTCACCTGTTGGGGAAAAGTCTCTTCCTGTCAGTCACTAACAAGTGCTGCCTCTACTCAGATTAAACATGGTGGGAGTATGTTCAGCATTCCCTCACTGCAGACAGGAAGTGAAAAACAAATTCTTTCCTAATACTAAAATACACTGAATGGCACTTGTCTTTATCAATCTTTAATATGGAGTATAAAAAACTTGATATTCATTAAAACAGATTTCTTATCAAATGACACTAAGTGAATGCTGCTTTGCCCTCCTTCCTGAGTCCTTAAACCTTCCTTCTCTGTATTAGCAACTTTTTGCTGGTGATAAAGGGGTTGCTAATAAGCAGGATGTACTGTACCTGCATCATTCTTTGTGAGGATATGCATATACCAAAATAAGGTTGATTTTATTTGGTTTAGTTTATTCCCTTCCAAACTAAATGCAGGAACTGGAATAAAAACAATGCAGATGTTCTATCTGTGTTGGTTTAAAATTATTGCTAAGCTTATTACCAGTACCTTTCCAGAGCAGTAATGAGTCCTTAGTATGACCCGTGGAATACTTTGAATCAGCATTTTCCAGCAAAACTATTTTATTGAAAAATCACCAAGTTACAAAATATTAATGGATGTTCCAGTTAATTGTCTTTTTGTATATCTATAATAGCTGAGGATGGAAGAACCATTATCAAAAGCAAGGTAGCTCTCTTCTCATCTTTACGTGGGCTCTAGTACAAATCTATTAATCAAAGAAAATATAGGGATTAGGTCATTTCGAGCATCCTTCCAGCTGCCCGCTTTCCTGCTCAGTCAAGATTAAGCATATCTACATAACTCCTGAGAGGTGGGTGTTGACATGTAGTGGGGGCCTTGTGAAAAATTTAGAAAGCCAATTTTAATCAAATGATAAAAAAAAATAAGTGGCACAAGAGAAACATCTAGGTTACAAACTTGTAAGAAATTGATTTAAAAGTTATACTTTTACTGGAAGTAGTTGCAACAGTGCATCACCCATTATCTTACTCTGAAACAAACCAGTATAGTCATGTTCTTGACCTGTTTTTATTGCTTGCCAGTGGTTTTTCAGGTAATAATTTGATTATTGCAGCTGTTATCCCATCTTGAAAAGCATATGTAGCATATATTAGCATAAGAGTGGCATAATAAAAAATAAGCATGACAGGACCATTTGCTGAGAGGGGGATAACTTTTGAATAAAACTGAGTGGAAGAGAGCTATATTTTGCATTCTAATGACATGTCTTGCCTTCTAAGGTTATGCCACAGCTCCTGACCCACCTGAAGGTTGACAGCCTAGGAGAAAGTATTGACTGGGGAACACTTGTAGTCTACACATGTGCTGAAAACTGTAACCTAGCAAATGGATATATGGAAGAGTTCATCTGGAAACAGGATATTACTACAGATTCTACTTAACTACATATTTTGTAGTTTCTGTATAATGGATTTTACCAATACATGTGTACATTGCAAGAAGGAAAGTGGTAATTGAACTAGTATTTCATAGAGGGACTAGCCCTGGGTTGTATTAACTTTGTGTATATTGTAAATAAATGATAGCTAATGATGTCATGAAAACAGACCCTCTTAAATTCTTTAGTGTCACTGATTTTCAGCTTGGACAGTGAAACCAAGTGGTTGAATGTTTCACCTTTAAGTAATTTTTATTTTCCAATCACACTTAGTGCTCCTAGATTCAGGCTGCACAGTTCATAGTCAGGGCAATTCTGGTGGTGGGAATCTTTCTATTTAAGCTCTGAGGCAGCACTGACCTTCCTAACTTATCTCACTATCTCCAGCTGCAGCACAAAGGGAAGGTTTGGGTAGATGCTGACACTAGCACTTTAACTGAGGGCTGATACTATACTGGAACCAAGTACAGTAGTTTATGAATAGCACTTCTGCAATCTTAACAGGCTCTAGATTTTAAGCAGATGGGGATTACTGGAAAAGCCTGACTTTACCATCACCACTTAAATATTACTGAAGATATGAATTAGAAATTTTGCTTAATTTGATATGCACGAAACACGTATTTTTAAAACCACGCAGAAGAGAAGATAGATAGCTAATGTAAAATATCAAAAAAAGTCACCATTTTGAGAAAATAGGCTAAAAAAATCACATGGCAAATGCAGTGCTTTAATACTGGCTTGTTAAGAAATATAAAAAGACTCAAGTATTAAGACATTACATATTTCAACAACATGCACTTACCACATTAACAGCAGCAAAGATCAAGCAGGATTACTTTCTAAAACCTCTGTGGGAAGACCATTGACTTTTTAAAACAGAATTTAATGTATATCTAGAGCTGAAAAAACATGACATTTCCCAAAAAGAGGAATAGATACAGCCAGCCATCTGACAGCAAAAAATATACAAATGGAAAACAATACCTTTAAAAGCATAACTTGAAGATAGATTATAAAAACATTTATAAAAGCAAGCTAAAATGTATATACAGCAATTGAAGTGGTTTATACATTTGGTGGCATGGTTGCATTTGTCTCAAACCAACTTATGGGTGCCTAAAAGAATTGACATTAAAACTAATCAAAAGATTAAAATATAAATAAAATTTGGAAAAGCTGCTCCAAGGACAGCTTAAAGCAATTCATTGTAACTCAGTAGACATAATCCATACAAATAATACAATTTCCCATGAGTATCAGGGAAGTAGGCACTAACTGGAAAATACTCCAAGTCTTGGTGTCGCACTTTGTAACAAAGTCCATCACTTGTCACTACTGTGCCATACTCAATACCTTTTAAAATGTACCTCTAAAATTTCTTTGAAGTATTTAAAAACTGTTACGTTGTTTTTTTGAATCCCTTTAAAATAGGATATATGTTTTCAAATGCTTCATAAATTTCCGCTCTGACTTTAGCACCTAGAAACAGAAAAATTAGCATATTTTATGAAATATGTAACATTCACAATTAGTTAGTTTTTGATCCAGATACTATATAATCAAGACCACTCCCAGTCTCACTAACACACACTCTGACCTCTTTACCTATTCACTATTGGGATTGCTTCCATTTTTCTGTTTTTGTTTGCTTGCTTCTATTATCACATATTGCATGTGATCAGTGCAATTTCACATGTCCAAGTGTTTGTATAGCTTGACGTTAAATGTTTACATAATGAAATACCTACTTGAAATCTATATTTTATTCAGAAGAAACAGTGTAAATATAAGGATAGTGTTTAACCCATTTTTGCTGTCAGCATGTCTACCACTCAGTACACCTCTCTGATTCTGAAAGGTATTAAATCCTGAAATTACACTTAGTGCAGTTCAGCATTCCAAAGAGCATCTTTCTTACTAAAAGTGGTACATGTTCCTGCTAGTGTAGCCTAACCCTAGACTGTTAAGAGCATCAATATTGTTGGCTTGGTTACTCACCAGTTAAAACCACCTTTCCAGACACAAAAATAAGCAGGACAATTCTTGGCTTGATCATTCGGTAGATTAAGCCAGGAAACAACTCTGGCTCATAACTGAAAAGAAAGAGAAAAGGTCAAGCAAAACAAACTAATCTGAAATTGATGTTAGCTGATCAGATTCACTCTTATGTTTAGCAATAGGAAACCTCATCCTTATACCCTCCAAAAAAGTAGAGTTAGGCTAGCTGTTTAAAGAACTGGATTTTCCTGGCGTAACTTTTTGCACTAGTAATGAATGCCTCAACACCAGTAATGTCTGAGGCTACGTCTAGCCTGCAAGCCTCTTTCGAAAGATTGCAGCAGCAAGTCTACAGCAAACCCTGTAGTCTAGACAGACCCTAAGAGTGAAATGTATGCACAAGGAATTAGCTATAAAAAAGTACAAGGATAAAAGTTAGCTTTAATTGCTTATGTCTTGGTTTCTAAACTAGCATTTTAAGTGTCCATGATTTTCCTTGTTAATTCAGATAAAATGACCAACATCTGTTTAAACATGTTTTCCTCTATTTTGGACAAAAACAGATAGGCTAAGTCTAGACTGACATGATTTTCTGGAAATGCTTTAATGGAAAACTTTTCTGTTAAAAGCATTTGCGGAAAAGAGCATCTAGATTGGCACAGACACTTTTCCGCAAAAGCGCTTTTTGCGAAAAAGTGTCTGTGGCCAATCTAGACGCACTTTTCCGCAAAAAAGCCCCGATCGTTATTTTTGTGATCGGGGCTGTTTTGCGCAAAAGGGACTTTTGCCCGAACAGGAGCAGCATAGTATTTCCGCAAAAAGCACTGATTTCTTACAGTAGGAAGTCAGTGCTTTTGCGGAAATTCAAGCGGCCAGTGTAGACAGCTGGCAAGTTTTTCCGGAAAAGCGGCTGATTTTCCGGAAAAACTTGCCAGTCTAGACACAGCCATATAGTAAAGAAAAGGTTTGTGTTTTGTTTAAATTAGCACAGCAATTTTACATGTTACTATTCTTACCATCTTTTCAATACTGAATGTTATGATAAACAGTCTTCTCTGTTTAGTTCATTTGATGTCATTTTGTGCTTGACAACTTTTCTGCGGCTTCACCTGCCTATGCTTCCACGTGCAAGACTGCAAAATTAACTGGCAGGAAGGAGATTCACAAAGATTTAGTAGGGAAGGCATCTGTGATGGACTAAGAGCCCCACACAGATGCGGATACAAATTTTGTATCTGCAAAAATGATCTTTGGATATCTGCATCAACATCTGCAGATGCCCTCCACTATAAAGCGGATATCTGCAAATTTGCAGGGTTCTAGATAGAAAGTTTATATCTGCGTCCATATCTGCAACAATAAGCTGTGAATATTCACATCTATACCTGCCAAGGTGGATAGCCCCAGATTTGCAGGACTCCACAGATTAACATTTGGCTGACAAAACCAGAGTCAAAGGAACACTATAACCAGTACAGTATAATCTTTTAGATCTCTAGATCAAGTGTACAGCACTCATGAATCATATTAAGCTTTTTATTTACCTGCTAAACTGTTGATGTGTAAGTACCAATCCCTCTAATCTGATAGGAAATTTCACATCACAGCTTCCCACCATGTTCTGAATCTTAAAATCCAAGAATTTTGCTGGAAAGCCCAATTTTTGAACAACTCTGGCATATTTCCTTGCTGCCAATCTGGATTGCTCCTCGCTGAAGGAATAAAAGACATGAGAGAATACACTGAATGTGTCACTGAAGTGACCAGGTTTAAAAGCAAGTGTAGGTAAATGTGGAAGACTTGAAAGGAATGAGGAATATAAAGTTGTACACCAAAATGTGTATACGTTGTCAGCAAATACTAACATTGCTTCTATACTGTTAATATCCTCTCAGAAGCCTCAAAATAATTATTTCCCACTTTGTAATACTTTTATTGTTTCACAAAGACCAAAGTCCTCTTAGTATGCCATCAGAGTCCTGTTCTCCCCTGCCCATCCTTAGTCTGCAAGGCATGGTAAAACCTTTAAAGTGGTTCAGCCTATACACCAGACACAGTATGAAGGGAAATATTTAGATTTTGTATACATATTCTCTCAGCAAAATGACTGACCAAATATTTTATCCACTACAATTGTTTAACATAGCACACATTGGACCTGACTGGTCCTGAATGAGGGAGTTTGCCAGACTAGGGGAGGTCAATTCTATCCTTCTGCTGACTACAGATTCTCCCGGGGTCCATCAGCAGACCTAGTGGAGCTGGCTCCCTGCTCCGCTGGCTAGTCCCTGCCACCACAGCTCTGCTGTCCTTGGGCTAGGGCTGCCAGGAAACCACTATCCCTGAGCTGCCATGGCTCTCAAGCATCAGCACTGCCACAGCTCTGGGGTGCCAGGGCAGCTGTGGCTCCATTCACTGGGCCTGCTGGACTCCATTATCCAGGGGCCACCATACTTCCCAGATCCGGGGCTGCCATGGCTCTGCTCCTTGGGGCTACCAGGGCTTCTGCAGATTCACTACCCAGGACCCCTGGAGCTGCTGTGGATACGCTTCTCTGGAGGTCCTGGGGCTTCACTCCTCAGAGCCGCAAGGGCTGCCACAGTCAACCCCCATGGCCACCCAGCCCTCTAGTCCAGGGGCTCTCTGGTCTAGCAATATTCGTGGTCTTGCTGGACCACAATTGTTGCTGGGCCAGAGAGTCCTGGACAAGAGAGGTTCAACCTGTATTTGCACTGGTCTACCATAGCATTTCTAGCCTTAGTAGGTCATGAAATGCTAGGCCTTCAAATCCCCAATGTTGTTGGGTTTTTTCCTCCCCCACTTAGTTTAACATTTTATTACCTGGTATCTTTTATGAACTACTAGAATTGGAGTTAATTGCTTTGTCTTTTTTGTAAAATATGTTCCAAAATTCAGAGAGCATTTCTCTTTAGGACAACATTTTAAGTAAATTCCAGCATGTAGTCTAGACACACCCATGGATCCGCTCCTCAGGGCTGTTGCTGCAGCCAACCCCATGGCCACCCAGTATCCATGATCCTACTGGACCAGAGTGTCCCAAACAAGAGTGGTTCAATCTGTAGTTGCATCCTGATTGGTTAATAATTAAATCACAGTATTTTACTACCTTGTGCAGCAAAAAGCCACAGGACACATTACTTATCAGAAATATTAAGACTGAGGCTTGTAATCTACAAATAAACATACTAATACAATTCTTCACCATCTAGTGCTCACTACTTTAACCCTCCACACCTCTAAGGCAAATATGATAGTTTTACAAATGGAAATCTGAGACTCTGTTAAATGCCTAAATTAACAAATCAGTGATTAGTCAGTGTAGAAGCAAGACAGGATACTCTGACCAGACTGTATATGGAGCGAGTGTTCCTTGCTTCAGTCATCTACAGGATCCCTTTGGCCAGTGCTCAGAAGCACTGACAAGCTCCAGGAGGAGGAGGGGCCTCTGAACAAGGTAACCTGTGAGAGTCATGATTTGGGATGCATGATGGGAAATCAATGAAAAGTCAAATCACTCTCCTCCACCCAGTCTGACATTTCCCGAGAGACACTAGTGAACACCTACAATTGAGTGTCCTGTAACATTCCATTTTTAAAATGAAGGCTTTTTTTAAATTAAAATAGGTGAAACCATAGAAGTTTCTAAAGCCTGTACCTCATTTGAACTATGGCACATATACCAAAAATCTTGTTCTAACTTAATCAGTTAAGACAGGTATGTGCAGCCAGCATGCTTGTATGTCAAGATATATCCAATGCAAGTAAACACTCTAATTCAGGATCAGTTGACCTTTCCAGTCTATAGTCTGATTAATGAGAAGTTACAATTATACAAACCTTTTAGCCCCCGTGCACACCATTTTTCCAGAGCTGAATATAAGTGCAGTTGTACGTGGTTCTCTTATTCTCATGATGACAGCAGCAAAACGCTGAAATGCACAACTTGAAACTGTTAGTGATATTATTGGTGTAAGAATTCTACAAAACTTGATTATGCATTTGTAAACAGTATTAATTTAGTATTATATTTTCCACTTACACAGCCTTCCTAATACTAAAAGCTGTCAACTTGAGATTAAAAAAAATTTAAAAAGCAAATGAAAAGTAGCTTTAAATACTATGCCTGACTTCCCTGAAAAAACAGCATGATCATAAAAGCACTTTTTATTAAAATGTTTCTCTTACCGTGTGAAAGACTGATACAAACAAGAGAAGCAATCTTACTATAAAAAGGGAATACATTATATTACTCAGTATGTTACATGCACCAAGTAAACTATGTGGAGGAAAAAAACCCAGGCTTTCTGCAATCTTTCAGTTATACTAACATTGCTTGTAACAACTGATAATTTCCAAACAGAAGTTTGATTTTTGTCCTTTTATACCTTAACACTCTTAGGTACACAGCTATTATAAGAGCCCTGCAATATCTGCAGATTTTTGCAGATACAATTTTTGTATCCAGAATCCTGAAAATGTGCTGATATCTACCTTATATCCAGGGGCATCGACATCCATAGATGTGGATGCAGATGCCAATTTTGCAGCCACACAAGGCTTTAACTATTATATCTTCATTTTACTGATAAATTAAAACAGGGAAATTAAAGGATTGTCCAACCTCAGAATGCTGGTTATAGGTAGAACCCAGAAGCCAAGTTACTGTCAATGGAGGTCAACTGAATTACTCCAAACGTACACCAGTATCATCTTTAGAGCCTGGAACTATGACTAATCTTCATGTACTAGAATTTAGGCCCATATTTGAGTGAACTATCGTTTTAAATTTAGTTTGGATATTAATATGAGAAATAGGCCCAAACGTGCTGAGCCTCCTTTCCCCATTCCTACAGGGACATTGCTAGCTGTTCCCCTTCATCAGGGAGTATGGGGAAAGCACACAGTTTGCTTCATTCCTCACTCTGGCTGGGAAGTGCAGGGGGCAGATGACCCTGGACTTGCCCCAGCTCAGGGATATGCATCCCTCCCACAGCTGTACCCACAGCTGGAATGGCCATGAAGAAGCACTTCTCACCTGGTCTCAAGCTGCTGTGGTGAGAGAGGGGTGGCATAGTCCTCTCTCCCCGGAGCAACCTGCATACTGAATCTCTCATCCTCAGCCCCACCCCAGAGCAATGATTTAAATTAATCAGCTGATTCAAGTCTGGGAGGGAGGAAGAGAAGTGGGGACTGAGTGTGAATCAGCTAATTCATGGCACACTGAAATTGCTGGTAAGTGTTGGGCTCCTGTTCCCCAGTGCATGAGAGAGGTGGGGGAAGAGGACAAAGAGAGGAGTATGGGCTGCAGGTGGAATCCTAATGGGCTGCAGGTTGCCCACCACTTTCACTCTTGTGGCCCACTGAGATGAAGTAGGACCACTCATGCGGCCCACTCACTAGTCTTGGTTGCCCATCGCTGATGTAGGCAGTCTAACTTGCTGGGGATACCAGCATAAATCAACAAGTTGTGTAACCTTAAACATCCCCATTGGAACACAGAGATGCCGGTCTGCCCAAACCCAGATGGCTGTGCATTGGAAGCCTGTAAATCACCACTGTTGGCAGACCATGGACAGCAGGGAAAACAGGTGCAGCTGCCCTGAAATTCACACACCTGTCTTCTTATGGGCTAAACATAGCTCCTAGCATCATGGGATCCTGATAACAAATCTCAGTTGAATATTATGGAACCAAAAAGTGAAGTGAGGCTTGGGAGGAACTGGTTGCTAGCCATGTTAGCAACTGTGATCAAACACTATCGATTCATAAACACTCTAAATGTCAAGAGCCAAAGATCTTTTAAAATTACATAGACCCACAATGCACACACAGAAATCTGACTCCACTATTACACTTGAGGATAGAAATGGTAAAGAAGTGGGGCATAGAGACACAGGAGCCTCTGAGATCAGGAAATAGCTGACTCTCTCTTTAAACAGTTATAGACAGGTCTACACAAGAAACTTTGCCAATCTAGCACTGTTGGTTAGGGGTGTTATTTTGGCCATGTTTCTATACCAGCAAAAGCCCCAGTTTTGACATTGGTATACGAGTATAAAAATGCTTTTTCCAGTACAATTTATTTCACTTCCAGAACAGGGATGTAAGCAACTGGTCTCTGTTTAGACATAGCCTGAGAGAGAGAGAGAGAGAGAGAGAGAGAAGAGCCAGCTTAAAAGCTGGTTCCTCCAAGCACCGTCTCCACAGGTTGCAGGGGAGGCATGGAGGTACTGGAAACTGGGTGTGAGATGGGAATCAGCTGATTCCCAGCTCATGCCCAGTTCCAGAAGCCACGCCTCTACTTTTTAAATGTATTAAGAATCTTCTGCTCTTAATACATTTAAAAATCAGAAGTGCAGTGGGGGGGAAGGGGAAGAAGAGATCAGGTGCAAGCCGGAAATCAGCTGTCCTGGCTTGCACTGGGTCCCTCCTAGTCAATGGAAAATCCATCAATTAACCGATTAGTTGATTAAGCTAAATTTAACATCCCTATTCCAGAACCAATATAACCTATTTGCAAGCTCTTTTTTCCCCCTCATATAAACACCTACAATAAGTTTATTTTGACAGCAGAGCTCTGTGAGCAAAATTTTTAAGTGTAGACTATGCTTAAGACTTGTTTCTTTGATGGCTAGTGGAAAGTTTCTTTCACGTTCAATTCTAATACATTTGTCTTACCTTGGGATTGTATTCAGCATTTCGGGCTCGAAGTGCAATAGTTTTTAGGTCAAGTTTGCAACCAAGATTCACAGTGGACACAATATTCCTAAAAACAAGTCAAGAGAAAGTAGTTGGTAAGAATACATTTAATGAAGGGTTCCTGGGATCTCTCTTTTTGAACTGCACATGAATGATACTTAGATTTTGCTATATAAGCAAATTTAATTGAGCCAGATACATCTGTAGTTTAATGCAACTGACCGTGATGAAGTCAAAGGATTCTTCTTCTTCTAGCACAGAGTGGTAGCAAGGATCAAACTGACATATATTAAAGCCCTCTCAATTTTCCCTAGACATCACAAAGGTTCCCTTCTTTCTCAACAGTTAAATACAAAAGATTTTTGTTTAAATTTAGAGAGCCAAATTGAGTTTGTATCACATTAGGTTATCTGCATGCAAAAATAAGGTTATTTGGAGAAAAAAAATGCCTATGACACTTTTTCTGAGTTGCCATAACAAAATAGAGAATCTAATTAGAGTTTTTTCTTTATTGCTAAGTACAGTGAAAAAGATTTTTAGATCCAGTACCTTGAACTAATTCTATACTTTTCTTCCCTGAACATAAATTCACACTCAACAGTCAACTACATAAGAGCATAAGAAGTAGAAAACAAGAAGAGATATTAGGGACAATTCCATCTATGATTGATTAGAGCCCCCCCCCTCCCCCCCCATACACACATCAGATTACCAATTTCACACCAGGTTTATTGAACTTTTGAAACTGTTATATCTTTGTTAGCTTTATAATAGTGTAAGATAACAGTAAGCAGCCCAACGTGTATTAGTTATATGTCTAACCAAGATGAGCAAGAAGCCCCACTTCTACTACTGATCTGCCACGTTCAGAGAAGTTTTAAATCATTTAAGTCACTAAATATTTAAAAGGCTCATGGTATGGGAGAGGAGGGAGAGAAAGTGTACTTTGTGTACTTTTATTACACTCACTGCAACTGTGGCACAATCCCAGAGCTCTCAGATGCAGGCGTTGCAGGAGTTATTGGGGTCATAGGAGTCATTGGAGAGGGATAGAGTGGCGTGGTTCCTGGTAAAGGAGCTGTAGTAAGAGTCTGTGAATGGAAGAGCTGTGGCGTTTGACTGGATGTTCCCTGTGTTGCTTGCTGTGATGTGGACTGTTGTGCTGCTTGCTGCTGCCTCTGCTGTTCCTCCAGAATAGACAGGCTGTTGCTGCTTTGGACAGGCTGTGGTGTCAGTCCAGTGCCATAGGGCATCATTGGGCTAAAAATTGGAATTCCAGGAGTCATGGCACCCTAGAGAAGAGAATATAAAGAATAAAGCACAGGTTCAGTTGAACCCATTTAGGTTTTTGAGAAACAAGTGTTGGATTTATGAGTAACAAGAATGGTGGTTTGTACAATGCTGCTCAAGTAATTAAACCATTTTTGCTTGCTGACACAAGGAGCAATGAGCATCCTCATCAGGAACACTTGTATTGATTGTACAGTCAGTGTTGGAAATTATGGGAGAGTAGGGATGTAAAATTCTGGTTAAATCAGTTACCTGGCTAAACGTTAGGTTAACCAACTAAAGTGGTATCCAGCCTGGGGCTTCCAGCTGGCTCCCAGCTCCCACTGGAGCAGCCCCTACCTGGGGAAGACCCAGCTTCCCACAGACAGGGCTGCTTCAGATGCCAGTCCATGGCAGACCCCTGCGAGGCTGGAGCAGCTCCCTTCCAGCAGCAAGCGGGGAGCTGTTCCAATCCCCACCAGTTAGTGATTAACTGGAACCATTAAGGAACACTACTTTCAGGTGATCTTACTGGTTAACCTTTCACATCCCTATAGGACAACTTCTGAAAGGCTGTAACAGTCCATGTAAGCCACAATGTCTACACTGACACTGCATCAATCTAACTACATTAACATTGATTCCACAGCTCTTGTGGAGGTGGAGTTATTAAATCAACCTAGAATGGCAGTCACATCAGCACAAGTGAAATTTTAGCACAGACCTTTTAGACCCTTACGTAGTTAGGTTGACAAACTGCCGTGCATCAACCTAATTCTGTAATGTAGACCAGGCCTTAGAACAACCCTCACATACATGCCCCCGACTGAGAAGGAGAAAGGCACTCCCCCACCTTGCTCTTGCACACTGGTGCTGGCCCTGAGCCTCTGGGGCTGGATACAGGCAAACTCGGCCTGAGGTTTCCTACCCCTGCTTAGAAGCTCATTTTACTTCACAGCATTAAGAACTATTTTTATCTTAGTTAAATCATCCAGTCCACTAGCCAGTGAAGGGTTTGGTGCTTGAGAGTATACACCAGAGCTTTGTTTTCCTGAAGACGATGCTAATGTCTAACAGATCTCTTTTTTTTTAAAAGTAAATTTAGTGCTTGTGGAAAATGCCTGCTTAAGGACTCTGTCCTTTTTTTTAAAAAAAAATGATACAGCATTATCAGTGATAGCTTCCTCATTTCACCTTACAATTATGCTTCAAGATGTGACCAGGAGAGAATCTCCTGAAATTAAAAGGGAGAGCAGGCTTATGTCAATGTACTGTTCTGTTAGCTGAGCAAAGAAATTAATTGGGGTGCCTGCTGCAATTATGTTTATGGGTAACAAGCATTCCAAATTCAATTATTTCAAATGTTGTCATCACAGACTTAATCCACAAACTGGAATTTTTTAAATTACTTTAATTGCTTAATTTTCAACTTGAATTTTTTGTGTCCCATTAATAATCTTCTGTTGTAGATAAACAATGCACACTAGAATATATATATTTTACACAGAACAAATTGTACTTCAACATCTGGAAAAAGAAAATGAAATTGCAGTTTAATTTAAAACAAATAAAATAGTAATTTACATGTTTGAGGATAAAATAGTGGCAAATACTAAGATATTACATGTAACTACTTTTTATCCTAGGTCCTGTTATCATATAAAATAGTTCCAAAAGGAACAAATATTAGACTTTGCACTCGCAAACAAGCACATTCACACTGCTAGGTTCTAACCAATCTTTCATATCCATAAACAGACATATTGTTACTCAAGACAGGTTACATACAAGAAAAATCTTTTACAAAGAATAAATGTTAAATAAATAATAAATAAATGTTAAATAATTTGTTTTTACCTGAGGGGAGGCTAACCCCTGGGCATAGGGTGGTAAACTGTTGTTCTGATCCATGATTCCAATTACTTCTTTGGTCAGGATAGAAATAATTCCAATTCAATAAAATCAAATCCACACCCTTGGGTATTTTCCCCTCTCTAGAGCATTCCAGCAATTAGTTTCTCAGCCACTCTTGAAGTGTTGTGAAAACATCTGCTCCAGAAATTCAGTGTAGTAATTCTAAAATACAATCCAACACCTAAAAGGGGGAAAAATAGTGTTTTGATAACCATGTTTAAAAACACATTGATTACATCCAGCTGCCATGTAACATAACAGTTATTAAATATATTTCTTTATACACATTATGCTGCCTTCGTAATGTCACTCCTGCCAAGAACTTATGCATGTGTGTTACTTGACTCAAATGAGCAGGTAGCAGCCCCACAGGCTGGGGGCTGACTAGAGCAGCCCCACCATTCTGCTTAGTCTGTTAACCAGTTAAATCTAAGGTTTAACAGGATTTTACATCCCTACTAGTGTACACTAGAAAGTTTGATTGACCTAGCTACATTACTCAGAAGTGAAAAAATATCACACCTGAGACATACAATTCCCTCTTTCTACACTCATCCCTGATGCAGAAAGCACTAGCTTAATAGGAGAATTCTTCCTTCTACTGCCTACACCTACTGCTCCTCAGAAAAGTGGATTTACTACTGATGGAAAAACCTCTTGCTTTGCTATACTCAGTGTTTGTACTGCTGCTGCTTTGCCACAGTCAGTGTTTGTGCTGCCGCAGCTTTGCCACTGTTGCATTTCTAATGTAAACGTTCGCAGGGCTGAGCCTTTAGTGGTAATGTTAACAAACATTGCAACCAAAACACACAGTGTTTTACTTATGCTATAAACATAATGTAACAAATCTATGTTTGTAAGTTACCTGAGACTTCATTCATATAATATTAAAATTATTCTGTCAATATTTCACTAAAAGATTACACCTTAGCATTAAAATTAATGAGATACCCAAGTGTGGCACACATTTTACCAAGATACTAAAAGTAAATTTGATATTTATAAGTCATCATATATCAAGCAGTGCCTCCAAAACACCACCAGACCAAAATCCTATCAACTGCACTAGTTCAACACAATTGTTTTCAGTTAGTGCCCCAGTACAACTGCAGGTAGAATTGGTCTGACTTTTAAATAGTGGCACCAAAGTATTTCCATATGTTTTAAAAATTATTTCATTAATCTACAGTAACTTTTCTATCTTGAAAACACGGTATCTCTAGTCCTTATGTTTGTATATTTCACTGGTGTTGTGGGGTTGTTCTTGAGGCTTGGGTTGCTTGAAATGATTTAATGGAAAAGCATTCTTAAAATAAGAAAAAAATATCTCCTTTGCCAACTCCAAATAAAAAATAAAGCACAGATATTTCATCAAAGAATTACATATGCCTTCCAGAGGGAAGGACGATAGGAAAAAAATGGAGTTTTCAACGGGTATGTAAAAAAGTAGTCGACCAGCCAGCCACCCAATAAGCCTAGGCTTATCAGGTACTTGAGTCAACTACTTGCAACAGAGATGTGGGGGGGGGGGGGGGGGAGGGACCTTAAAAGCCGGCTCCCCCCTCAGCACCATCTCCATGGTGCTGCTTGCCCCCTTCCCTGCACTGCTGCCTCTATCAGAAGCAGCAGTGTGGGGGGAGGGGACGCTGCTCTAGCAGCAGCACCTATCCACAAAGGGTCCCAGTTCCCGGATGGGATCCCTCAGACAGGGGCTGCTGGGCCCAGCGTGAGCTGGGACTGAGCAAGCTTGGCTTGCGCCTGGCCCAGGAGCTACTCCCGGCTGTGGCTCTGCAGTTTAAATGTAGTGGAAGCCAGGCTGCCTGCACACCTGACTATTACTACATTTAAACTGCAGATGTAGCTCTCCTCCTGAGCACTTTCCCTTATCGACCAATTGTGTAGTCAATACAAGTTGTATTGACTACCCAATTACCTGCTTCTTAACATCCTTAGTTTTCAAATTAACATATATGAATCTTTTTAATGCACACAGCAATGCTCTGATTTTCAACCACATGGCAGTTAGAAGCTTAAAACAGGATGCCCCTCTGTCAAACACTTCTGGGTAACTTTCAGCTTCCTAAAACAATTGCATTGGGCTGAAATCTCAGACTCATTTAAGTGCGAAGAAAACCTGTTTACTACTTATTTTTGCTCTTTTTTATTACATGCACCAAAGCGGGAACTTGTGGTAACTAGGGAAGTTAAAATGCATTTATTTGTCTGTGTAATTTTCAGCACTTACACATGGGGCAGAGGGGGACAACATAAGAATGGCCATACTGGGTCAGACCAAGGGCCCATCCAGCACAGTATTCTGTTGGCCAATACCAGATGCCCGAGGGAGGGAACATAACAGGTAATCCTCATATGATCACTTTGATGACCCACCTCCAGAGAAACAAATTTCCACCTATTTCCAGATAAACAGAGACTAGGGACACCATTCCTACCCATCTTGGCTAACAGCCATTGATGAACCTAATCTCCATGAATCAATCTAGCTCTTTTTTGAACCCTGTTAAAGTCCTAGCTTTCACCACATCCTCTGGCAAGGAGGTTCCACAGGTAGACTGTGCGCTGAGTGAAGAAAAACTTCCTTTTGTTTGTTTGTTTTAAACCTGCAGCCTATTGATTTCATTTGGTGACTCCTAGATCTTATATTGTGGGAAGAAGTAAGTAACTTTTATTTATTCACTTTTCCCACACCAGCTATGATTGTATAGACCTCTATCATATCCCCCCTTAGTCTCCTCTTTCCTAAGATGAAAAGTCTTTTTAATCTCTTTTCATATGGGACATGTTCCAAACCCCTAATCATTTTGTTGCCCTTTTCTGAACCTTTTCCAATGCCAATATTTTTTTTTTAAGATGAGGCAACCACGTGTGTACGTACTATTCAAGATGTGGGTGTACCATGGTTTTATATAGAGGCAATAAGATATTCTCTGTCTTATTCTCTATCCCTTTTTTAATGATTCCTAAAATTCTATTTCCTTTGACTGCTGCTGCACACTGAATGGATGTTTTCAGAGAACTATCCACGACTCCAAGATCTCTCTCTTGAGTAGTTGTAGCTAAATTAGTCCCCACCATATCGTATGTATAGTTGGGATTATTTTTTCCAATTTGCATTACTTCATATGTCGTCAACATTAAATTTCATTTGCCATTTTGTTACCCAATCACTTAGTTTGGTGAGAACTTTTTGATGATCTGCATAGTCTGCTTTGGTCTTAACTATCTTGAGCAGTTTGGTATCATCTGCAAATTTTGCCACCTGTTTACCCCTTTCTCCAGATCATTTATAAATAAGTTGAATAGGATTGGTCCCGGGACAGACCCCACTAGTTAACTCTCTCAACTCAGAAAACTTACCATTTATTTCTATCTTTTGTTTCCTGTCTTGTAACCAGTTATCAATCCATGAAAGGACCTTCCCTCTTATCCCATGACAACTTACTTTACTTAAGAGCCTTTGGTGAAGGACCTTGTCAAAGGCTTTCTGGACATCTAAGTATACTATATCTATTGGATCCCCCTTGTCCATGTTTGTTGATCCCCTCAAAGAACTCTAGCATATTAGTAAAGCATGATTTCCCAATTCAGAAACTATGTTGACTTTCCCCCAACAAATTATGTTCATCTATGTGCCTGACAATTGTATTCTTTACTATATTTTCAACTAATTTGCCCGGTACTGACTTACAGGTCTGTAATAGCCAGGATCACCTCTAGAGCCCTTTTAAAATATTGACATCACATTAGTTATCTTCCGGTCAGTAGGTACAGATGCTGATTTAAAGGATAGGTTACAAACCACAGTTAATAGTTCTGCAATTTCCCATTTGAGTTCAGAACTCTTGGGTGAATACCCAAGAGGTGCAAGCACTGGTTCACGCCTGCTCTGCTCCCCCGCACTGCTGCTGCCTCTGTGTCAAAGGTGGCAGTGCGGGGAAAGGCAGCTCCATAGGAGCCTGTGCTCATGCCTGCAACCCTGGGAGGTGAAGGAAAGTGGCTGGCATTCGCGGGGGCTCCCACTTCCCTCCCTGCTGCTTCTGATACAGGCTCAATTGTTAACTGTGTACTCGGGTACATGTTCACCTCCCTAGTGGTAACATGTAGAGATGGAAAGTAATGGTTAATTGATTAGTCCATAGGGGCGCTTGTACATTTCAAAGGAGGAATGCAGAACGCTGTGTGCAGCCTGGGGCCAGCGGGAAGTCCCACTGACTCTGGGCTGCACGCAGGTGCCAGGTTTGAAATGTTCAAGAGTCCTCGGGGGGGAAAGAGGAGGGGGCTCTTGGGCATTTCAAAGTGGTAGGGCAGCATAGAGCCTGAGATCAATGGGGAACTCAGAGCCCCTGCTGATCCCAGGCTTTATGCTACCCTGCCACTTTGAAATGCCATGCGGAGCTGGGATCTCCCCAGCTGACCATGGGTTCAGTGCAGCATGACCCAGGGTTCCGGGGGAAGCTGGGGACTACCCAGGTGATCCTGGGTTCTGGGGAAATGCAGTGCTGTAGTCCCCAGCTGACTCCAGGCTCCACACACAGCGGCACAGCACAGTTGAGCTGAGGATCTGCTGTGTAGCTGCCCCTTTGATACACCCAGGCAGCGGTCAAAGGGGCAGCCCCAAGCAGCAGTGCTGCACAGCTAATCCCGGGTTCAGCTGTGCGGTGTAGCTGCTTTGAAGTACCGTCCACTCTCACCCCCTTTGTTGCCTCTATCTGATAGAGGAAGAAAGTGTGGGGGGAATCATTTAGTCGTTTGCTTATTGGATAGTCGACTAGTCTTTAACATACCTAGTAACAACACTGAAGCTAAGAATAGGTGATCTTTTATGTGATCACAAAATATATTACCACTACACTTATTCATAAAGCTACCACCCATAAAGTATCCAACACTATGTGTTTTGGCAGGGAGAATTATCCAAGTGAAAAGGACCAAATACAACACTACCCTCCCTCCAACAGATAAACATGCCTCCCATAGCACTGCAACTTTAAAATGACAGAACATTTTCAGAAGTGTAGTCTAAATACCAAGGATTCCTGGGTCTGCATAAGTAGAAAGACTAGATAAAAATCTTGCCACACAGTGTAAGTATGGTCTGTTTTGATTTTAGCTACTTTTGTGCAAGGAACAAATTCCACAAGCAAGGGATTTCTGAGGATACCCTGGCTTCAGCATCACTAAGCTTCCCCCAATACTACTATGCATGATCACTAATAAGGTATATGAAACTATAACAAGAGGAGCAATTTAAACATGAATGGAACATATGTATTTGCTGAGAGCCTGAACCAATACAGTACTTCTATAGAAAGAATATCCCACTAACTTCAATGGGAGGTTTGGCTATGTAATAAACTTAGTAATTGCATAGCACTTTTAATTTTCAAAGCACTTAACACTAACCTTTATAACAACCACCTAACAACAAACATACTTATGTTACCCCAAACTTGCAAAACCGTAACAAGACTCAATTTGTCTGCCTTTTCAATATGAGGACGATCATATAAACACCCCAGGATATATTATTTAGCTAACAAATCACTCATTTCTTCAAGCTATGCTATTTGGTGACCCTAATTTTCCAACACTGCACTGCTCCCATTTTGCAGATGGGGGAGGAGACAAGGCAGTTTAGTGACTTGCCCAACATCACACCAAGAGAGTCAGCGTCACGGTGCAAATCAGACCGGCGGTGGCCGGAACACTACGGTGATCAGCTTCCCCAGCTCCCCTGAGCCCTTTAAGGCCCCCCAGCCTCTCTCCAACTCCGCTACGCAAACCGAAAGGCTCAAGAAGGCCTGAGCCCCAGAGAAACGCAGAGAAAGCGCTGCCGCTTCTCTTTGCCGTAGAAGGGGTTTATACGGGGCAGCGCTTCTCCGACAAGCCCCAGACACGTCGCGCTCCGCTCGGGGAACGCGCTTGTGCCGGGGGCCATGAGAGCTCGGCTCCCCCAGCCTCTCTCCAACTCCGCTACGCAAACCGAAAGGCTCAAGAAGGCCTGAGCCCCAGAGAAACGCAGAGAAAGCGCTGCCGCTTCTCTTTGCCGTAGAAGGGGTTTATACGGGGCAGCGCTTCTCCGACAAGCCCCAGACACGTCGCGCTCCGCTCGGGGAACGCGCTTGTGCCGGGGGCCATGAGAGCTCGGCTCCGCGCGGCGCGGCCGGGCAGGCTCCCGGGGCAGCGGGAAGGGGCCGAGCCTGGTCCCGGGC